TGTTTTTCTTTTTGCTAAAAATGTGAATTAAATTGTTTAAAACACTTAAATAGACATATATGCGCTAAAAATTGGCTTCTAAATTTTTTGATAATGATATTTATGATTTTAATGCATACTTACCTTTGTGAAAGTAGGCAGATAAGTGGCCTTGGAGTATTTGGGGTGCAAGAAACTGTTAAACGTCATTAAAATGAGGAAATATCCCCAGCCGAAGCAGTTAGCCACCAGTATGGAGGATAGGGCTAACCTTCCGGGCTCTGAGTTTAGCATCTTGAGATTCGATAAAACCGAATACGCCACTTGAAAATATACAATAGATTCGTTAGTCAGCAAATCGTGGAGCTGCGCGGGCGTAGTTTTCGCCACGCTTCCACGTATGTTACTCGTGATGACGGTACTTGCGATTGTGGCCACCACGTAAGGAAATAGAAAAAGAGATAAACCGTTGATGACTGCGAGCTTGCCTCCTCGCTTTATAACTCCCACATCTACTTGAGCTGTGCTTATGTACGAGATGAACATAAATGATATTGCCTCTAATGATTCAATTATGAAGAAGCTTCTTGTGCTGAAAAGTTTCTTTATTAAATCTATGTTTTGTCCCAAAGCTGAGGGGCCTAAGAATATCCCAGCCTGTTTCAAATCACAAACAAAAAAAGGTTCACTTATAAAGCTAAAACCTAAAGTAAATACTGACAGCTGAATGAACCACAAATAATTCGTATCATATATAACGTGACACTTGACCATTTATTTTCTGCTAACAAATGTTGTAAATTGTTTTAATTGTTGTGCCATGACATAACACTCATTAATTCTGATTTAATATTTACATCGTCCCCATGGACATTGTAACAATTCACATTCTGTAGGAAAGAAAATGTTTACTAAACAGAGATGTCTTAAATTCATATACATATTTAGAAAAGAAAATTGTTATAAACTCCATAATTCAATTTGATTAATGAGTATATTACTATATATTGATGCTTCTGTGCTATATGTTCTTGCATTTTAAATTCATTCAATGAATTAGAAACATGATCGAGTTTCAAAGTTTTCCAAAATAAAAACTTTCTCGTCTTAATTAGTAGACACCTTTATATATTGTTATAAACCATAGAGAAAACACACATAAAATGGTAAGAAAATGTCGAAAAATGAGTAATTACCAGAATTTGAGGGACAAAATCGACGTTAGCG